TAAACTTGTTCTTTCTAGAAATACCACAAAGAAGTCATCTACAATCTATTCTATATCTCACGCATATACAATAAAATGTATTTGGTTCTAACTTAACTACTTTGTAATCCACTCCATTTACTATATTGTAACACTTAATTGTTCGTACAACAATTTCTTTATCATTAAATTATTTTCCAACATACAAGTCTCCATCTACATCAAAATGACATATCAAATGCAAACACAAATATAATAAATTAAAAAACTATAATTTAATTCATCAACAACATTATTAAAAATAACACATACCTAAGTTTGCATATTCTAAAAACTTAGATGCATTCGTAACATCAAGATTTAACAAACGCATGAAGGGTGGCTCCTCAAATGGATGTTACCTAATCACTATGTTCGACAAATGGACCTCGTCATCCACATCCTCGTCTTCACTCAGCTCCTTGTTTCCATATGCCTACATATGCTTCCTCAACATCTTCTTCATAATATTAACTACAATTTCTTTGAAAACAACATATAACTCAATGACAGGAATTGGCGAATGACGTTGTTGATGTATTTGAAACATTTGTAGAACATTAACATTATTCGTTATTGGCATTGTATAATATTGCATGAAACTGCCAAATTTTGATATTGGACACCTATAAACAATACTTTTCACTACTTTTGAAAACTCAAATTCAATATTTTACGAGCCAATATTTCAATTCGCTAAATGAGTCATTCTCTCGTATACATACATGTTGGTTTTTCACATCTAAATAACACACATTCACGAATGTTTGTAATAATCTCACTATTAAAGTATATCAATATAAGCATACTAATTTTTTCCTCTATGATGAATTCACTCTCTATCTAAAATTCTTCCTTTCCACTCACTTGCAACTTATAAAGAATGGAGAACTCGGTATTTATAGGCAGATATCTTAAAAATCCCCAATGATGATTATATATATATATATATATATATATATATATATATCTTAAAAGGTCTTATAATTGATTTGAATATTTTATTTAACTTACATCTAACAGTCAGTGAAATAATAAATTATAACCCGTTAGATATAAGTTAAATGAAAGATTTAGATCGAGTATAAAACGTTTTAGAGTTATATTAGTATGAGAAGATTCTCTTTCTCTCTTTCTATATATATATATTTTAAAAAAAAATTTAAGCACCAAAAATTGCCAATAGTATTTTTTTAAGTTGTCATTGGCGAGTTTTAAAAATGATTTGATATTTTTAATGATATAACAAAACGCCATTAACGACTTTTACTAAAATTTCATATTCATGTAATATAACAAAAATTCTAATATTTCTTGTATTTTAAGGGATTGTTTGGGAAGGGAAGTTTTGGAGGAGAGCAGGGTAAAAATTTATATTTTAAATAAATATATTAACAAAATTTTAATAAATTAATAATATATTTGTCATCATAAATGATGTATAATTCTTTTAATTTAAAATTAAAAAATATATACTCCTTTTCTTCTCTTCCAAAAATTTCTTCCTAAACATATTTTAAAAGAAAAAAAAATCATATATATAAAAAACTACTAACATTAGTGATTATGATATATGTTTAAGATTGTCAAATGAGGAAAAAAAAACACTTACCTTAAAATAAATTATTTGTCAAATTTTTATAACTGTTTGCTTTAGATTATAAAAATATCAAAAACTAAAAATAATTTTTTTCTAAAGGAAGATCTTTAACTCTTAAAATGTTAACTAATATACTAATAAATGAAATAAGTAAATCAAAAAAATAAGTTAATGTCTCCTCCACAAATTAGCCCGGACATGAACACAGAGAGGAACATGAGAGGGACCCAAAATGGTGCCAAACAAAATAAAGAAAAATCAAAAAGTGAACGACAAAATGAAAGAAAGAAAAGTAAAAATTAAAAAGAGAAAAAGGTACAGACGGAAAAGAGAAAAAGAAAAGGCGCCAAAACACTGAATATGAAGCCAACGTTGATTTATATATTTGGACCCCACAGTAAGTTTCAATGTGTGATCTCCTATCATTTGCTTTTGAAATTAAATTAATATGTTCATTTAATCAGCATAAATACTTGTATAATTTTCGGCTTATTGAATTGTAGTTGAATTGATAACAATTTTAAAAAATCAATATTTTATAATATATTTAGTCCTAAAATACGCTCTTATTTGGTTGCATAGAATAAAGACTTGATATTTAATTTTATTATTACAACAAAAATTTATACTATTGATAAACTACGCGAAAATGTTAATACATGTCTCTAAGTTAAACTCAAACCATAATATGTACAGTTAATTTTAATTAGTTTTAAAAAATACTTTTATTTTTAAATTTACTTATTTATAGTTTATTACAATTATATAATCTACTTATATATATAGTAAGTACATTTTTTATTAAAAAACAAAACAAGAAGAAAATTTAGAGGAAGAAAAAAATATAGCAATTAGTAAGATACTATTTCATAAAATGATAATAATAAAAAAAAGTGTGAACCTAAATCGTAGTAATTAGACTTCATTCTCGTTTAGTTTGGCAGTGGTGTATTAATAATTAAATTTTACTTAAAATATACGTTATTTTTTATGCATGAAAACAATGCACATTAACGGGTTTTAATAACTTTTTGATTTCAACATAATTATTTTTTTAAAGGGCTGGTTTATAAGAGTTTATAAAATAATTTATGATTTCTATGAATTATTTTTAATTTATTTTAATAAGATATATTATATACATTTTATTATTAAATTTTAAATATAAGTCATTAATATTTAAACAAACAGTTATCCAAATACACCAATTGAGACTTCGCGTTGCACTTACACTGCGGGAGTGAGCCACATTCTGGTCAATTATATAGTGTACACGTGAGAGATGTGACAGAAATTATTTTTGGTTTTCTAACTTATAAGTTAAACTATTTTAGTCAATTTCAATAAAAAATATATTTAATTCTATAGTTATTTTTTTTTTACCTTTCACACTCTTACCAAATACATAAATTTAAATTTTTTTATAACATTTTACATAACTTAAATGCTAATTAAAACTTCGTAACTATTCTACTATATTTCAATATATATATGAATTAGCAAATTATTCTACCGTATAAAATAATTTAATCATCATCAATTATATATATTAATAAATCAAAGGTGGAGAAAAGAAAAGGGTGGTGGCGCACGGCACGGGATAATTAAGAGCATATCCTCTTTCCTCTATCTTCTGTTATGTCTCTTATCTCCCACTTCCTCCTTCACACAATTCAAATAAAACTCACCATACACTTAACTACTACAACTACCCCGTCCTATTTCATTATTATACACCAACTTGCACTATTATCCATCGTTGCAACTTCGCAAGTTCAGCATTTAGTGTACTTCATCTTACAGCTAACCACAGGTTGGTACTTGGTAGATATTTCCTATATATATACTCTTCAATATGCTACTCCATTTACTTTATATATATATAACTAGGTCTTATCTGTTTATCTTCTTTTTTTTCTTTTATAATACCTAGGGTAAGGCAATTCTCTTATAAACCTTCTGCAGGGAGAAGAAATAATTACATAGGTAATGTAATAAAGAAAAATACAAAAATATTGTTATAAATTTTATTGTAACTTTAATTAGTGACTAGCTTTAATGGTCTTAAAATTTTAGTTACATTATGGAATATGCATGTCTACATATGCAACATAATGATGCATGATGACGTGGCTGTATGCAAGAGATAGAAAGTGACCACGGTGATATACGCCAGGGATAGCCGAGTTAAAATATATACGATTTTCATGCGTATTTTAACTTTTCTCTGATCATATATATACATATTTTTTACTGTCACATCACAATATCAAATTAGGCTATAATATCTCAAGTATGAATTTGTGGTTCGTGACATATACAACCACTATAATTTAGATATAATTACACACACACAAAAAAGTTATTATTTAAATAATGAAACAATGAGTGAAATAGAATTATTATATGTATTTTTTAAATATTTAACACGGCTATATCTGTCAGAATTTGATATCATTAAACTATTTACTTGTTCAGTAATTTTTTTTTCTTTTTGATATTATATATATTGTTCTTATGTTTCTTTCTTTAATATATATATCCAAAAAGTATTGACCAAATATTTTTATCAAACAAAATAAATATACTCCACACACAAACTCACATTAATTAATTTATCACTGCAATTATCTTCTAATGATCACCATCTCCACTAAATTATTAAATGATTAATAACGGGTGGAGGACCTATTTGGATTCCCAACCATGTATGATATTTAAATTATTAACATTGTACTATGTAATATTATATATTAGTATTTATTTTTTATTTAATTTTTATATTATATATTATTTTTTTATCTTTCTTATTTTCGCACATTTAAAAAACAATTTAGATAAAAAATTAACCCGACAAATTAGCAACCGTTCTGTCAGCATTACTATTCTAATTCAATAAGCGGTACGCATCTCGTAATTCATATAATATATAACAGATTAACAGGTATAAGTGAACTGCATTATTCATGAAGTTTGATTTATCAAATACTAAAATAATTTTATTTAAATAATTAAATAAATAAATTTAAAGTCAAAATTACAGGTTTAATTATTTAAATGAGTAAAATTTATATTTTGTACATTAACATTATTATTAAAATATTTTTTTAAATTAAGCTCATGACTTTAATTAAGATAAAGTCAAACTTTAAATTCAATTTATTTAAATATATGAAAACAATTTTTTTCACCTGTTAAGCCAAAGTTTAAAGTACTTGCTTCAATTCATTTAATTACTCGCCTTTCACTTATTTATACTTGTCGATAAATCTGGGAATATTAAATAAATATAATTAAATTATAAATATGGAGGAAAAAATTGATTAAAAAAAAAAACTTATTTTGCATATAAGAAAAGTAAAAATTCTCGGTTAATAAAATTCTCAACAGGCTATGTTTTGTTTTACGGAAACACAACAACGATGCATAGTACCAACTTTACAAAATCCCATGTCAAAATTTTCAATTTTTCAGTGAAAATTGAGAAACTAACAACAAATATAAAGAGAAAACTGGCTTGAATATATACCAACTCATACAATCAACAGTCCAGTAATCACAATATACATATATTATACTTAATTAACAATTACCGTATACACAATAACGCTAAAATTCATAAATGTGAAAGCCAAAAAAAGTTAAAAAGGAAAAATTAGGAACAGCACTTGTAATCGTCGGTGTCGTTGTTCCGTTGCGTCAAGTTCTCAGCGGTTTGCGCGAGTGACTGAAGGTTGCACCTCACGATGGTGTCCACGAACACGCGCGTGTCGTCACGCGTGTTCCCTGGTGGCACGTCCACCACGTACGACTCCACCACCACGGTGCCGGCACCGTCGCCGGCAGCGTGTAGGGTGGTGACGGAGCGGTAATTGGCGAGCCTGTGGTCCCCACCGACGACGCTGAAGCTGATGACGTGGCGCTCCTCGTCGAGAATCTCGAGGCGCTCGGTGCTCCTAGCGGCCGGTAGGCCAGAGATGACGTGGACCTCACGGAGCGTGCCGACGTCGCCGTCACCGCCGATGACGTGGCAGCTCTTCACGAAGTGCTTGTAGGCCTGCGGGTTGTCGAAGCGGCGCACGACGGACCACACGGTGGCGACGGAGGCGGCGATCTCCTGCACCACCGCGGAGCAGCACTGGTTTGGCGCCACGTTGTGGGTATGGTATCGGGCTACGGCATCAGGGACGGCGGCGAAGGGCTTCACGAGGTTAGTGTCACAGCCACGATGGTCGTGGCAGTTGGCGAGGGCGGCGGTGTGGTTGATCCGGTGAAGGAGGAGTGATGACTTTGGTGGATTTGGAGGCATTTTAAACAAACAATGACGATAGCGGTTGATGAGTGAACAATATGATGCGGCGTTGTTAAACTTTCAAAGGTTCTTGAAATGATTCAATTATAAAGAAAAAATGAATCAAGTTAGAGAAAGGAGAGAAGAGGGGTTGGTTAGTGTTGTGGTTAAGGTTATATATAGTAGTAGTAGTAGCTTCAAGCTTGGACGTAGTGTTCTGTGGGCGACGAGAGAGAGAGAGAGAGAGAGAGAGGGTGGTGGGGTTGGATTTTCAAAAGATGAAAGGTTAAATGAAGTTCATGTGGGGGTCGTATTAAAATATGGACCAAGTTGGTCCAGTTTAATTTACCAAAATAGGGTTCTTTCTTTCCATGTGAAACTACCCACTTTGTAGTATCTTCTATTATAAACTCCTCTTGCTTGTGGAACAAAGGAACCTGTTTCATTACCCATTTTGTCCCTCTGAATCAATTTCAAGTGCCAAATTTTGGGGATGGAAGATCGTTTCAATGTCACGACATTACGTTCATAAGCTTTTACCCGAATTTACGGCAATAAGTTATATCAATTAATTGCAAATAACTTGTCGAAGAGGCAAGGCATAATTTAGTTGTATTTATCTCTTTTCGTGTGATATTGTATTTATCCAGATTTAATCTATATATAGATGGATGTACAAAAGATTCTCTTTTTTTTGTGTTTAATAGTTGTATCATCGTTGATTTCATCAAAATACTTTTAAGATTTGCACATTAATAGTGTTAATTTGCAAGCATGTGAATAAATTTTGTAACAGAATACAGAGAGGAATGGGGGAATGGAAACTCAGTTGACTGAAACGGTGGGAATAAGGATAGTATTGACCTTACGCATAATGTCCTCTATTCTGGTCTTTGTCAAACTGAATGGCACTCTGGTAATTTCTCGGGACAAGAGGGCTCGAATGCCCTAACTGCTCTCACATAGATATGCAAATGGACGATCAACTTGCAGGCAAGGTCGTGATCTGTGAGGTCACATAAATAAAACTAGGAAACAAAGCATTTAAAAACATTCACTACACACCAATCTCATATATATATATATATACATATAAGAAAACAAAACTTAATAAAGAAGAAAAAAATTCAACAAAGCACAGATTCCATTACTCTACGTACGGATGCCGAATGCAAAAGGAGTAAATTTTCAGTCACTTCCTCAATCTTAAGTTTCCATTTAATTAATTATTTCAGAGGCATTGAAAATTTTCCATTTTTAATATTTATAATTTTTATTGTTTATATTTAATTTTTTAATCATTCAAATTAAGTATCTCACTTCAAAATTTTATCTAATAATTAAAAAAAATGTAACGTGTCATGGTTTATATAAATTTTCAATATATATAATAATTTAAAACTAAAATATTTTTATACATTTTATTTACTATTTTATTTGAATGTATATAAATTTTATAATTAAATGAATAAATTATACCCTGTAAATACTACTGTTATTGTTTCTTCCCACCGCACCACTTGTATATTCTTTTATACCAAAATATAAGGGCAGCCAAAGTTCTCTATCTGTATGTGATCTAACGACGTTGCATCACTTTTTTTAACGTGGCGAGCTATTCATTTTACGCTTTTCCCTTTTTTTTCTTTTCTTTTCTTTAAGATCAATATATATTCCCTCGCTAAAAAAAAATAATTAGTCATTTGAACTATTTTATTAGTATAATATTTTGTTAAATTAAAATTAAATTGATAGGTAAGACCTTAAGGCTTTCATTGATTTGGTATTAAAAACTTTTGTACACGAATTTTCATGCACCTAAAACTACACGAGTTCTTAAGGTGATATATCATTTGGGGAGTGTATCAATAATATATTACTACATTATCTTATAATGGAATGCAGAGGCGAAATTGAAACTTTGAAGCTTTTTATGGTGCATATGACATGAAATAAATACCAACATGTGTTCCCTTTTATCTCTGCCACAGGCCACAGCCATGACTAGTTGGTATGTGATGTAGCACAGAATTTAGCCCACTGTGTTGGGACCAAGCATGAGGAGTCGTAGATACCTATTCTATGATTGGTTGATAGATTTATAGGTTTCTGAAAATAATTTTAGTATTCCCAGATAAATATATAATGTCATGTTATAAAAATCTGCCCTGGTATGATAGGTTCACGTAAATTAAGATTATAGAAGAGTGAGATGTTATTTGGTTGTTTGATAAGTTATGAAGCCACTTGCATGCTTTTTAATACAAGTTGAAAGGAACGGTTTTATTTGGTTGCATCTTTCTTTTTCTAGTTTAAAGAAAGTTGTTATTCTCTTTGGCTTCCACTTGAACATCCCAACAAAATAAACGTGATAGCATAGTGGCCCATTTCAGAAAACTGATTCCAGAGGGCCCCTCCTCAGCATTGCCAAACTCACCCACTACTCTCCTTCCACTGTATCTGCGAATATCAGTAACGCATTTTTTAACACGGTTATTTTCACGTATTTTTATTATTGATTAAAATTTATTAAAAATAAAATATATATAAAAAAATATTAATTTAAGAAAGAGAAAAGATAAAATTTAAATTATTTTTATAATTTTTAATTAATAAATAAAAGGTGTGTGTATTAAATAGTATGTTTTTAGTTGTTATCATAAACTTGAGAGTACTTTCTCTGCTATTATACATATGCGGTATTAATTTTTTTTAATTAAACTATTAACTTTATTATTTATTAGCGTAAAATTAGCAGTTAAGATTATTTTACGTGTAAGAGAAGGTATCAAATCCTCTTGGTACTGAAATTTATTAATTATTTATAAAAAAATTATATTTTTGTAACTTTTAGTTTAATTTAATGATTTTTTAGTAAATTTTATGATATTAATTATAATTTAAAATTTTTTTATCAAACAAGAACTTAACTAAATTATTATTTTTTTGCTATTAACTAAATTATATATTTAAATGCGCTTATATACTTACCGTTGCATTTCAACATTCTTACAAGACTCAGTATATTTTTTTCTCTATAGTTTTATGAAATTTTGATTTTAATTTTTTTAAAAATAATTTTAATCCTTAAGTTTTGTAAATTCAATGCTTTTGATATCTAACAATGACGTAATTAAATAAGCAGTTATCTCATGTTAAATTTTGTTTGGTTGTATCATCATTAAGAACCAAAAATATTAAATTTAAAAAAATTTGAGGAATTAAAATTTTAAAAAATAGTAAGACCAAAAATATGCTTGACTTTTTTTTTATAAAAAATTGTAAGAGATTAAACAATGCTGATGTTTTAACCATAATTATTGTTACAAATCATAGTTTAAAACACAATTAAGTCATCGTTATTCGTTCGTCCTAATGTTTCGCCGCTATTTACTAATCCCAAACATCCTCAAAGTCCCGTCAAAATATTAAAAATCATTAGCAAAGTTAACAACTATTTTGATAAACATTGAAACATAATGTAATTTAAAACTTTTTCACAGGTTTAATTGCCTTTATTTACGGATAATATAAAATAGGTCAAGCCAAGTTGAACATTAACTTCGATAAACTTAGCTTATTTTAATAATTAAAATTAAATCTGAGTCGAGCCTGTGATATGTCAAAGCATAAGTGTGGTTTAAACTCTTAAAAAATTTCTGACTTTACATAAAAAATCTATTTAAAAGTTTCTTTTATACTAAAAAACATTCAAATTAAATAGGCAACAAACATATTTTTAAACAGACAACTAGAAAGAAAAATTACATTTCTATAATAGGTCAACATAAGGGCCATATTTGATAAGATTAAAGCGTCTTTATATACAGCCATCAAATATGATCAAGCATAAAAAATTCTTGCTTACCTTAAAATATATGAATTATGACTTTTTTGTCTCGGCAATTGATATCATATGGAAGCAATGGGACAGAACCATTGCACCTCATAGTATAGAATGCAATCCTAACTAAAATATTCATATTGAATCAAGGTACAATTTGGGTAAACTTCCAAAAGAAATTATAAAAAATAAATAAAGTTTTTCAATTAGAAATAATAAATGTTTTTTTTTTCTTTTTATAAAGATTTCTCTAAAAGTTTATTTAAACTAAGCTAAATTATGGAGATCAATGCCTTATTTAAAGAAAAAAAAAGTTGAATTCAAAGAGATAAGTAAAGATTTAAATTTGTAATTTATCAAATGGAAGACTCTATCAATCCTTGATATTATTAAATCCCTCAAAGTATAGTCATAGGACTGTATTTTCTTTTAACAAATGGTTATCGAATATCTTCTATGTATCAAAATGCACTGTTTAGCATAGTTTTGAACGTCAGGGTTGAGATATTTCTTATATTCTAAATAATAAATTTCTTTTGCTGATATAACAATGTACAATTCATTACCAGGACTCCTAATATTAGGATAATCTAATTTTGCAATTATTAAAACAGAATTTTAATAAAGAATAACAATTAATCAGATATATTGTCTTAAAACACCCTGTAGTTTTGCCAAATAATAATTAAAAAAATTAAACCAATAAAAGAAAACATATATTTAAGCAATTCAAATGATGGGTAAAAGAATATAGATAAACACCTAAAGTAAATATAATTAATCAATATAGGTTAGTCCGAGTGATAAATAGACGTTAGTTCAAGTGATAAACAGTTTGGTATTGCTTAAATAAGATTTTGAATTTATTCAAGTTCTTGTATATGTAAAAATATCTAATTATAAATTTACCTATCATATTTAGGTGCGCAATTCGAGTCAAATTCAAATTAAATCAGATAAAAAAAATGAATATAATTAGCTTGTACATGCTCAATATCTTTTCAAACAGTAATTTAAATATTTTCTCCTATTCCAAAACATATAATTCATATTAATCAACTATCATAACATTCAAAATAGAAAGGTATCAGACTAATATAAAATAAATTTTAAATTATATAAAATATTATGTTAAATTTTAATATATTTAATTATTGAACATTTTAACACATTTGTCACTTAGACATTAATTTTGTACTAAATAAATTGGCTAGACATGACACGTGATATTTATTAATAACACATAATACAATGATATAACTCAAAATCTATCATTGAAATAAGAATTATTGAACATTTTATTTTTTTATGCTTTTATATATATATATATATATATATATATTATTTTATTTTTTGTCAAATGCTTTTATTTAGTTAGAATTGGTATTATTAAACAAAAACTTGCCTGGCCCAAATTTCATATAAACCAGTGGCCCAAACTCATGGGATGAGTCCAGCTTCTGGAGCTCTTCACTTCATAATAAAGGATTCTCAGACAACCGAAAAACATGAAACATAATAAAAGATGCTTGTTCAACAAAAAATAAGATAACATAATAAAGTTTTTTTTTTTTATAAAAACAAAATAAATTTTGTATTTTTTACTGTGAAATTTTTTATTTTTAAAATTAATCACTGTTCATAAATATTCAAATCATGTCAATGTTTATTTAATTTTTTTTATACCATATCACCTATTATATCTATTAATTTTATTCTTTTTTTTCTTCACACAGAAATTTCTAAAAAATAATTAAATATATACAAAATATTATTTGAAAATAATGATTAATAATTTTATCTCAATTATAATAAATAAAATAACTATTTTTAGATTTATTAATTATTAAATTTTTTAATACAATTATTTATTATAAATTTTATATTATTGAAGCATTTATTTATCAATGAATTATTTATTTATTTAATAAAAAAATAATTAATTTAAAATTAATATTATAAATATTTTATAATGCATTATGTTTATAATATATAATTATTTTTTATTTATATTTTTATAAAAATTAAAATGAGATATATTTATCACTTAACTATTATTTGTATAAATTTGTTAGCCTAAATTATAGAAAGTAGCATTTTTATCCAATTCTAAGAAATAATATTGCTGATATTAAAAATTATATAAATAATTTTTAGTATTGTAGTATTATAATCATTTAAATAAATAATAAAAAATAGAAAGGATTTACTTTTCTGTGAAACATAGATACTCAAAAATGATTCTTACAAGATTATATAAACCCATTATTTCGTACACAAAAGTATACCCACATGATAACAATAATAATTTTGACATTTCCAATATTACACGAGGTATAATTTATGTTAAATAAATTTTTATTAAAATTATAAAATTTAGTGTATAATAAAAATGATTTAATATATTGATATTATTAAATATTATATTTTTTTAGTAAAAATTATTATGAATTAATTTTTTATTATGTACTAGTATTGCAGAGATTAAAAATTTTGTAATAAATAATAATAAAACTGAAAGAGACCATAATAATAAAAATAAATAAATATTGAGTGTGACGAAAAACACCCCAGCGAAGAAGGAGGCAAGGTGGTTCTCCATCATCTTCACGTCTGCGTTTCACTTTCTCCTTATCTCGTCGAAGGAGAGAGAGAGAGATACCCTTTTGGATCAAAAAGCTTTGGTTGTGGATCGAAATGGATCAGATATTGAACAAAGTCGGAACCTATTGGTTCAACCAGAAAGCCTCCAAGGAGCTCAATTCCGTTGGTGACGACATCAATGTGTGTATACAAAACCTCCCTTTTCACCCATGTTTCTTTTCCTTCCGAAATTTCTCTTTTTTAATAATGGGTTGATCACAAATTTTCAAATTCAAGTGTAATAAGAATCATTCTTCTTGTTATTTTTTATGCTGATGAAACATGGTGATTGTTGTGATCCCCCCAGGATCTGAAAAATAATGTGAAAAATAATGATTTTTTAGATTGGTGCATGCATCCTATGGAAATTGGAACCAATCTGTTATGTCTTATCGATGTTTGGTTGGGTATGAATTGTTTAGTTTTTTAATACTACAATGGAAAATTGAAAGTATGAATTACTGGATTTGGTTGCTTGGTGTCCTTCATTGAATGAAACTAGAGATATTGGCTTGTTAATGTTGTTGAGCTTGCTTTCTAAAGTCTCCTGTTTATGATACCAATTGTATTTTTGACAGAGAGCGGGGAATTAGGCTTAGTGTAGCATGTTAGATGTGTCTGTTAGACCTTTTGGTTTTGTAGTTGAAAGTTGAAACATTGGATCCACATTGCAAGGCAATATAGCCAATAAACAAAAATATTTTCTTCTATTGTAAGATATCAGTGCTTTAAATTATAAATACTGATTTCTATATGTTTAATTGTCTACATTGTTGTTATTTTTGCATTTATTATTGATTTATTAATGCATAATTTATGATTTTTTGGAAGGGAAGAGAAGTAAAAGCCTAAATGCATGTTTGGATTAGCTTATTTTAAGAAAATATTGCTATTTTTTCTGCAGCTTCCTGCAGGAGCTTTATTTATTAAAAAAAATATTTTTCTTTTCCCAAATATGCACTAAATATAGTTATTTATGTGAATGAGATGTAGGCATATAGCTCAGGATTATGGTTTAATTCCCAGGATTTTAAAATTAATGAGATGGTTCTAATATGGTTATGGAGGAGATATTTACCATGAGATCATTGTTAAATAAATTCTACCAAAGGTATTCTTGATCTCCCTCTATTGCTTTTCGTAGAGCTAAAAGTCATGCAATTCACTTTCCTAAATGATGCTTTCAGTGCCATTCTTTGAATATGTTCAAACTGCCTTAACCAATGTTTTGTCATCTCTTCAGTAGGCACTGTTCTAACATGTCCTCATAAATAGTCATTTGTTATCTTGTTATTTCTTTAGTCAGTAAAAATATTTAAGGAGGAATATATAGTTTGAATGGCTAAAAGTTGGGAGTGAGCAAAGGGAGGTGGGGAAGCTGTGAAACTTCATTGTACAAGGCAATACAATTTTGTGCATGATCATATTGCTAGAATCAATTTGTAGTAGTGTCACATTATAGCCTATAGTCTAATAAATATATAATTATTTGAAAACATGCTTAAAATTTTCAACTGTCAGGTGTTTGAAAGCTTTTAACTGAATAAAGGCAAATGTGTTGGCTATTTAATAATACCTTAATATCTCTTCTTTTATATAAATAATGGAAAAAGGTGCAATAAGTTGAAGATTGATTTTTCCCCTTGCTGATAAATTGAAAGCACTTAAATAATCCATCATCATTTTTGTAAATAACCTTATCTTGCTGTTATCAATAATGAATATTCTTGTGTTCTATTGTGAATGTAAATGTTTGTGCTTGACTACCACAAATGTTAACTATGAATTTTTTTTGCTTGAGTAATTTCTATGTTGACACCTTTTCTTTTGATCATCAGTCGCTATCAAGCAGTATTGAAGGGGGAACCAAATGGTTGGTCAACAAAATAAAAGGTTTGTATTTTCCTATTTCTATCTCAAACATTCATCCGACAAAGTCCAGGCTGTTAAACCTGTGCAATATTTATGATTTCATTTTATTTAACCTTGCAATCCCAATTGATAGAAAGTAGATCAAAACAAACTCAGTTATGGTGAATCTATTTTATAATGCGGATACTGATAACTTTGTGGTATCAGTACCTGTGTGATGGATTTACAGTGGAAGACAAAGAACTGAAAAAGATTTACCACGCAGGGTATCCAAGAGACCATGCACTCTCCCACACTCTTCACTTTTTTTTTCCTTAACCCTCTATCTTTTCCCCTCTCTTTTTTATGTCCTTACTGGCCTATTTTTCCCTCCCAGCTCCCTTGAGTGCCTCACTGACAATCTGTTACACTAACCATTCCTCTCATGGGGTCTCATTTCCTCTTGATTGCCTCTTTCACAATCTGTTGCATTAACCATTCCTTTCCCTGAGAGACTCAGATTCTCAGCTTTCCTTCCTAATACACACCTTAGTAGTAGGTGGTTCCTAACAAAAATGCATCATTTTATTAATTGTTATTTGCATCATAACCAAGCCATTAACAGATTTCCAAATTTCATGGATTTTGAATAATGATGAATTGTTTTAAAGATTATTCATACATCCTTTTAAACATTACTAATCATTTTTATCATACTTGGAATTAGCAAATTGAGTATTGGGTATGTTATCCCTCAATTTCCGTATGTATTTTAATTGATATTACTTGGGAACTCTCACAAAAATTACTTTTCAGGAAAGATGCAAAAGCCACTACCAGAGTTACTAAAGGAGTATGATCTACCAATTGGAATCTTTCCTCGTGATGCAACAAACTATGAATTCAATGAAGAGACAGGAAAGCTTGTTGTGTACATTCCTCAAGTTTGTGAAGTAGGCTACAAGGATTCATCAGTCCTGCGGTTCTTCACCACCGTGACTGGTTATCTGGAGAAAGGAAAGCTAGCAGACATTGAGGGAATGAAGACAAAGGTGTTGATCTGGGTAAAAGTGACGTGCATTTCATCGGAGGGATCAAAGCTCCAAGTGACAGCTGGCATGAAGAAAACAAGGAGTAGGGAAGCATATGAGGTTACAAGAGATGGTGTATGCGTAGATAAGTTCTAAAACCTTCACATCATGTTTGTTAATAGCTTTACAATATGTAAAACCCTTTGTCTGTTCTTGTGGACCATTTTACTCTCCTTTTGCATGATTGTTTACTGTAAGTAGTGTTCAAATATGTTCTTCAAATATTCCCCTTGGACTTAAATGTTGCAATTTGGTGAAAGTGAAGCCTTTGGTACTTGATGATCAAGTAGTTATATTTTTGGAAATTATTTTTCACACTACTTTTTTTTTTATTAATCACACCATCCTTTTTTGCCTCACTTCTCAAATTTAATTGTTGAATATATTAAGTGTTTAATACATGCTGAAAATTTAATTCTTGAAGTTGTGATTTACAAATCATTTTCAGATTTAAATTTTTTAAAATTATTAAACTTTTCTGAAAATTAAATTCTGGATATAAAAATTCACAGCTTCACTACGATTTTTTGTATCACAATGTTTATTTTGAAAACAACCGTAGATGGGCTTGTAAGCAACAACAATAGTATTAGTATTCTTTGGGTTCATAGCTAACTCCAGGGAGCATTGATTGAGGGTGAAAACTTGGAGGCTATCCTTAACCAAGACAGTACCAAATGGATGAAATGTGTGTTCTGTTTGGGGCAGAATGTTTATGGCAGTTGTAAAGAATCAAGAATGGACATGATTATTAGCATGTGATCACTCGGAAGATCTCCGAGAGATCGCTTTCGGCATCAGATTGCAAAATAATACACATTCAAAATCAACTTGCCTGCAATCTATTAGGATACTTCCACGTTAGTTTTTGTCACTATTATTGTGAACGGAAATGACAAAAATACAATTATAGTAGGCTTTACCATGCAATTTTAATGAACAGAAAGATGCATTTTTATTAGTGCTTGAAAAGATTGATCAAAATTATTTGACTCATTAAGTGTTAAAATTTTAGTGTGGCTGATCCAAAGGAGGAGAGAGTATATGTTACAGGCATAAGTGGCCTACTTACTAAAATCTTAATAGGGAGTTGCTTTTTGTATTATTTTTTTTACACTTCATTAATATTTTTTATATATCTTTTTAAAATTATCCTTAACAATAATTTCATTTACTAATTTTTTTTTATTTTTATTAAATAGTCTTCTTCTTTAAAACCTCACTTTTTGTCTCTTCTAGCATTTTATTTTTCCTCTTCATTGCTCTAAGTTTTCTTTCATGGTTACATTCTTTAAGCGTTATTGTAAAAAAATGGCATCTTCATCGGACTGATCTATATCGGCACTCTTTAGAAAATAAGTTTCTTATACATTTTAAGTTTTTAAAATTAAGTTTCTACAATTCTGGAAATTAATTTCCAGAATGATTAATTCTTCCAAAAGTAAGTTTATGAAATTATAATTTTACACTTTCAAAAATAAGTTTATAGAATTAAAATTTTACACTTCCAAAACAATTTTTAGAATTATTAACCATTTCAAGAAAGATGAGCATAAACCAAGCGATAAAAAGAAAAACAAAACTTATAATAGAGGCTCAAAACTTAAAAGTTATAAGTGCAAACAAAAAAAAATTATTAAAAAGTTGGTTAGGTTTAAGGACTAGTGTTAGACAATAATAAAGTCCTATATTAGTGAAATAACAACAAATTAAATGGTATATAAATAAAAATGACCTCAAATTTTTACAAATACACATTTATTTTTTTGTGAACCCACCAATATTAGACTTTATTGTTGTCTAAGCATGGATTGTTTCTAAATATGAAAGATAGATATCAATGGGTGAGTAGTGGAGGGCATGATTTATTGGGATTTGCAGGACATCTTTTTAAAATTAGAGGTTTTTAAAAGAGATTTTTGAACCTATAAAACTAGCATATGCATTTTATAATTTTTTATTAGCTTATTTTAATAACTCAAATAAATTCTCATTTGATAAAAAAAAATAATAAATAATGCTTTATTAAGCTTATTGAAACGCATCCTCAATTCAGATATATGAGAGATGTATAAAATCATATGGCGATAATTAATACATTTTTTCAAATTACAATTACAACAATATCAGTTGTAAGGGGATTCCCAGCTCCCATTCTTTCTAAGAGAAAAGATCCACTAAGTTCAAGACACATTCTTTTATGCTTATTTTACTTGATAATTTTTTATAAAATAAATTTAATCATTAAAATAAACAATAGTATCCTAATATATATATATATATATATATATATATGTATATAATTTTTTTAAAAGATTAAGTTATTTTATAATCAGTATTATTTTATATTTTTAAAAATATAACATCTGTCAAAATAAAGTTCATCCCCCACTCGTCCATAATTTTAGTAATAGCAAATAGAAATCACAATCGTGAGCTTTACTTCAATGACATCCGCAATATAAAGTCATGGTCTTTAAGCAACGATATCTTGTGAGTTGCGTGTGCCACCCACAAGCCTCAATCTTCACTTTTGTCCACTAGCAACCTATCTCGCAATTCTTCTTTCACTGCTATTGATTATTTGTTTTTTTACGATGGATATATCTTGATGCACATTTTCATCAAATACTAGCTAAATAAATTCTTTTTATATTATGATTTAGATTATAGATATAATTATAAAACTTATTAAGATAAATTTTTAAGAGACTTTGTCAATTTCCTTGAAATGATGATGAACAGACATGTCAAGGTAATATACACCCTTGTAGTTATTGGGAGAGCCAGAATTCAGAACACAAATAAAAAAAGTTAAATGATTTTTTACATACACTAAAATGTTTTCAATACATTAACTCAAATGCACTTGCATGGTGCTATCTTTCTCCTATGCCTTGCAACTCCTCTGTTTACAGTCTCTGTAACTTGGTTGTTGTTCCTCTTGCCCTCACCTCTGCATTCTTGATGGTTCCCTCTTTGATGTGCACTTCTTCCCCACCGATTGTTTGGCAATGGATCAAGTTTATTACCAGAGAATCAAGTATATTGATGTGAGGTACTATTTAGAAGAGTAATTTTGGTTGGACCAATTTCAAATCAATGCGTGAAACTGAAAAATGCCTACAAGTTATTTTACTCTACTTAAGCCACAAAATTAACATTGGAAGTCAAAAATTGTGAAATATAGTACTCAGTTAAATTTTCTTTTTATTAGTTATTTGTTTTCATGGTATTATGCTATTATGATTTAATGCTTATAAAGGACTATCTTGTGTGTAGTGGAAATATATCAAATTATATCATAAAATTGAATGAATTCTAACAAAATTGGTTCCATCATCTCTCATAAATTTGAAAAAGCCTTTTGTATAGATAAAGTAAATTTAAAATATTGGAGAGTCGTTCTTGTATACACATGTAGTATTTGTCTTTAAGATTAAAAATCTGGATTTTCAGCTATTTTTTGAAATTCATGAAAATCTAAAATGAATAATTGATAAATAATTAAGCAGTGATGATACCCTTAAAGGTATATTACTCCTTCACACAACTTATTGAATATTCACATACCATTTTTCATTATGTATTTAGTAAAATTAATTGGTAGTTTATGATATATTTATTTATTTAAACAAGTTAAATTTAAAATTTAGATTTAAATTTATCAAAAAATTTAAAATATAAATATAACATCAATTTATTATAACCTATCATTATTTTTAACCAAAAAATTATTTATTAATTATTTATACTATTGATATATTTAGTTAAATTCTTTATAAAAGTTATAAGATTTACCAACATATCTTTGAAAGTAATTATATAACACCCTGCAAAAAATATATTAACGTATCACCGTTCAATACAAATATATTTTAAGATTAAAATTAATTAAAAATAGTGTGAAAATTATATTCTCTTTTAGTACAATAGTTTTACTTTGTAATTATATTTTTGTCAATCTTGTTTTAAATTTTAATTATTAAAATTATTACTTAACTTTCTCTTATTACTTTATAGAATTTTTTATTTTTTAAATATATTATATTTATAAAAATTATGTTTATTTTTAAATTTTAAATTTACTTTTATAAATATTATTTCTTAAATTTATGGTTTGTGATATAGATTGATTATTGACATTTAATTTAAATTTTTTTACACTATATAATAAAAATATTATTTTAAAATAAATTATATACTTAAAATTATTTAATTTTATTAAATATTTATCATTTTGATACTTGTTATTTGTAATTATATAGAATTAAGCTATTGTTTAAAATAATTTTATTATATATATACATATATAATTATTTAAAAATATAAAAATTTATTTTTTAATTATTAATATATATATATATATATATATATATATATTCTAAAATAAAATAGCAATGGATTACACAGCTACTAAACTAATTGTCAATATTTTATGAAAATTGACCTTTTCCTTCTCTATGCAGTATTCAGGTTGCGTACGGATCTAAGGCATGTACAATTTGAAGAATTAGACGTGTTTATAATTTAAAAACAAAATGTGGTGTAAACACATTTATTTATTTTTATTTAGCTTTGGTATGCCATAGATATGTAAACTATTTCATAGTGTAAATGACTATTCTGGCCTCTAAAATTGTAAGCATTATTTATACTAATATCTGATTTTATATTTTATTTTTTAATATTTAATTTATAAAATTTAATTTTTTATTATTGTTCAGGATTTTTTAATTATCATTAAACACTAAAATAAGAAAATTATAATATTCTACAAAATTAAGGATTAAGATAAAATTTTTATAAAATTAAGAATTAAATTGAATAACATTTATGTAATTTTAGAAATCAAAGTAATAATTTATTCATTTTATATTATTATTTAATTTTACAGTAACACATCACTTTATTAGTTTATTTAATCGATAATTACTATATTTATTAAATGACATGTTATCATATGAAATTGTATTATAATATGAAAATTTTAACAATAATAATATATATCATTATTAGATTTTTTGATCTTTCATTTTTTAAACTAAAAATGTCTAAACTCTTTATATTTTAAGTATATATTTGATTTTACTTTTTTTTAAAAAAATAATTACCTATTTCTCTAAAACATATAATCATCTACTAACATATAACAGGTATTTTGATGTATTTAATTAAACATAAATGCAATAAAATGGCTTCTTTTTTTATATATGATTTTTTATAAAATTATAAAAATATGGAGTTTAAAAATTGTCAATAATAATTTTTAGTATAAATATAAAAATTTAGATATAATCAATTAAAAACATATAAAATTTTAAAAGTTGTTAATGATAATTTTTTAAAAATATATTAAATAAAAAAATTAAAAGCTGCTAATGACAAATTTTTAAAAATATTTAAAAAATATATAAAAAATTACCAATTGACAGTTTTTAACAAAAGTCATCAATAGTAATTTTTGAAAAAAATATATTTTTATAAATTTTCCAAAAATTTAATATTTTAAAATTTAGAAAAATAAACCATATATAAAAAATTAATCTGCAATAAAATAGCTCAATTCATCTAATTTCTTAGCATAAATTATGGATGGAATTGGGAGACGGATGACTCTGGCATGAGAAAATTCTACAGCTTTTGAAAGAAAAGGGCTTAGCTGTCACAATTGAAACGCTAAAGACAAAAGACCACTGATCTGCGACACTTTGGCGTTTTGTTTCGGTTTCCCATCCTCACTCGCTTCTCTCTCTCTCTGTAATTAAAACTCTCTTTTTCTTTTCTAACTAAATATTGATTCTTCGTTAAATTGAAAATAAAACTTTTAACAATTATACATTACACGAATATTAAGAAAAAAATTATATCCAGATAATATACATAATTTTAAATTTTAAATTTAATAAAATATATTAATTTTAAGTCATCATTAAAAGGGCATAGTTGATATCTTCTACTAGAGATAATTTTTTTTAGTTATAATTACTATAAATAACAAAATTTCACTTTTTGAATAGTTAAAACAGCTGCATTAATTATATATTTTAATTTGATATGCAAAGATAAATTTTTAAAAATAATTATTAGTCAAAATCTTAAAAATGTAAAAGAAAATATTTTTATAATAAATCATGTGTTTTAAAAAATAATTATTTTATTTGTATGAAAATTCGTGTCAATAATTGATTTTGGAAATTTTTCAATCAAAACACCATTATATAAAGTAAAAACTTAATCCTCTTTAAAGAAATGACTATTACTATTCAACTTTTAGATAAGTTTGGTGAGAAAAGATATACTCTTAAAATGTAATTCATGAATAGAATAATCAACAAAATTTAGTATTGGTAATAAATAAATAAATCTTTAAGTTTGTTAGTTTCATATTCTTAATTTTACTTTCTTACAGTTATTTTTTTAATTTTTTTGAAAAGGTAAAATAATAAAAATATCCATACAAAATTCGATGTATTATTACATTGAAATAAGTGTATATTATTCGAAGATTTAATTTTTTATGTTATTTAGCTGAATAAAAATTAAAAAAATATAAGTAAAACATTGAAAATAAAAATAATAAATTTTTACTTTAATTTATAAAATATATAATGTCATTTATCTTGAAAAATTTAAAAAAGGAAAAAATTGAACATGACTAAGGAAATGACGATACAAAATTTTGAAAAATTAATAATAATAAATTTAAAATGCTGCGAGCGCGAGTACCGCAGCAACAAGCTAATCGAGCGAGTGAGAGAGTGAGGAGCGAGTATTTGGATCGATCCTCGATTATTACGTGGACCGGATATTTCCACAGATTCCACATTCACACTGGATAGACCACGAGCTCGCCACACGCCCGTACCTATAAACCAATCTCAGCCCTCCACGTGTTTTTTCATCCAACGGTCCAGATATAAATCCGTATATTTCAAATTCCGAAAACACCCCTTGCCACCTTATTTATATCCCCCTTGCCCCTCTCTTCTTCTTCATCCCTTAGAATAGCCATTGTTCTTCTCCGTTTCTCTTCCTTTCGAATATCCATTTCGAGATTCTTCACAAATGGCCCTTTCTTGCTCCAAAGTTTCAACCTTTTCCCTCTCACCTGTTGTGGGTGATGCTCCAAAAAACCTCGCTTTTTCATCTTCTGTGAGCTTTGTTCTCTCTCCTTCTTTTTTGAAAATTTCTAAGGTTGGTGGAAACAGGAACTTGAGGGTGTGTGCTGCTTCAAATGCGCCAGCACCACTCACTGGGGTGATTTTTGAACCCTTTGAAGAGGTCAAGAAGGAATCTCTTTCTGTTCCAGTGGCACATCATGTTTCCTTGGCTCGTCAGAATTATGCTCCTGACCCTGAAGCTGCAATCAATGAGCAGATAAAGTATTTATTTTTCATTTTCGTTCTTTTTAAGTTAATTAATATTGGGGTTAATATGAGGCATGAACAGATCTAGTCTAGTTTTATTTTATTTTTTATTGTTTTCTTGGTTGTATTTTGTAAAGAACTAAAGATCCATTTTTTCTAGGTTTTTTATTTTTCAGATTCAGTCCTTCATATCTTACTTTAATTTATGTGTACCCTTGTTTTTTCAATTAAGAGTCGTTTTGTTAAAGCATTTTTGTATGAGAAATGGTATTTATTTAAATATTTTTAATAAAGTGAAGAGATGTAGGAAGAGAAGAGAGAAAAGGGGGTGATGAGAAGACAAAATTTGTTAGTTGTAGAAATTTGTTGAGAAAACAATATAATTATTTTTTGTTTCTCAAATCTGAATACAGCGTGGAATACAACGTTTCCTATGTGTACCATTCCATGTTTGCATACTTCGACAGGGACAACGTAGCTCTCAAGGGACTTGCCAAGTAAATAACCCAACATGCTTCCTCTCTCTTGCTATTTAATCTGTTTCTCAATGGGTTTTAAATTTCGTGTGCTGTTTTGTTTGTTGACAACAGGTTCTTTAAGGAATCAAGTGAAGAAGAAAGAGAGCATGCGGAAAAGCTTATGAAATATCAGGTTGGTGTTGCTGTTGTGCACTCTTTATTCGCTTTGGAGAAGTAAGCCTAAATCTGATCCATGATTCCATAGCGAAAAATTCTAAATTGTTATTTTTTATGTCTATTTAATTTTGTAACTAGTAAATATTTTTAAGATGATAAGTACTATGTAATATATATCTTATAAAAATAAAAAAGAGGATTATTTAAAAGAAATATAAGAAAATATAACCAAAATTGTTTATAAGTCATGCGTTTGGGAGAATGGTCATTACATGGTATCGTATAAACAATAAATATTCTTTGCTAGTTAATAGTTTTAAAATTTTTGAAAGTTTAGTTGATACTCTTATTGGCATGTATGACTCCTCTTTTGCTTAGAACATTCGTGGTGGACGAGTTGTGCTGCACCCTATCACGAGTCCTCTCTCAGAATTTGAGCATGTAGAAAAAGGGGATGCATTGTATGGTGAGTTTTCTGTTTTCATTACTCAATTTCTACATTTTCAGTTACGTTAATCGTTTTGTTTGCAGCTTGAGACAGTGCTGTTGTAGAGTTGTGCTATACATTTTCATTGATCATATTTTCATGTTTCAACCACTGTTTATGCTAACATGTTTTTCTATTTCCACCCTTTTGGTCTCTTTCAGCTATGGAATTAGCTTTGTCTTTGGAGAAGTTGACCAATGAAAAGCTTCTCCATGTTCACAGTGTAATGCTTCTTTGTCTTTAGCTTTGGATTGAATTGTGTTCTCATTAACTCAAATTATTTTATAAAAGTCAATCAATCTAAGATTTATGATTATTCTTTACTGTTTAGGCAGTGTCTTGTTGAAATAATTTTTCCTTTTTCTCATGAAAATTAGGTGGCAGAAAGTAACCATGATGTTCAACTGGCAGATTTCATTGAGAGCGAGTTTTTGTATGAACAGGTAGAGCATGGCTAAATTTGTGGCGTTGAAATCATAATACGATTGGGATTTATTAATATTTAAAACTTCTGCACTCTTTAAAATGTAAAACAGGGGTATAACTTAGAAAGGAAGAGAATGAAACGAAAATTTTTTGGTGTACTTGATATAAAAGAAATAATGTTGTATTTCATAAAAATTTTTATTTCTTTGTTGTGAATATGGTATTCAAGTCATCAGACTTTGTTGTTTAATGAACTAATATTTTGAGTTGTGTTTTTTCGTGTATTTATAATAATTTGTGTTTTTTTTATTAAGAGTTGGGTTGTAGAGAAGGGTATTTGTAGTTGGGGTAAACATTTATATGATATAATTAGTTAAATTTCTTTTTCCAAACAGTAGCTAACTGTTTCTCACAGAATAACAGTCGCTATCACAAGTCTTAAGTGTATGATTTCTTAAAATTTTTAATTTTTTTCCCCTTCTGTTCACTTTCCTTCCAACCAAATAAGAATTTTTTTTCTTTTGCTAAAGCCGGGTGTGAAATAAGATAATTCCGGTGAAACAGCTAAAAGTTAAGGGAGAGTTGAAATATGTTTGAGAACACGTTAAAAAATAAGTAATAGCATTATATACTAAGTGAGAATTCATTACTTTTCAAACATGAACCTGAATATGCAATTACTTAGTAAACTAATAAGGCTTGTAACATCTTGTTGTCTTTTGTACAGGTTAAAGCAATTAAAAAGATAGCAGAATATGTGACTCAACTGAGATTGGTTGGAAAGGGTCATGGTATGCATATATCCTCTTCAACTTGCCCTATTTAAGTTTTCATTGCATTTCACTTGCAACTGGTCCACTACCATATAATTGTGTATCTATTTACATATTAGCATGTAACTATCCATTTTACCCTCTCCTTCTGTTTGAAAATGAAATGAAAACAATCTTATTCTAATAAAGCAACTGTTTTGTTGTTGATTGCAGGTGTCTGGCACTTCGATCAAAGTCTTCTCCATGATGAACATCATGTATAAGATTGAACAGCATGCTTTCTTTTCTACACTTGGTGCTTTGTCAAGTTTGTGTATTGTTCTATGTTTGTAGAATAGTGAATAATTGTTACCTCCTAGGTGATGAGATGTAGGAACTCGTGTATTATAGTTGTTAGTATTATGTGAAATTTAGATAGTTTGTAGCATGCAAGTATTTTGTTATAAATAAAAAATGATGTCTTGGCTGGTTCAAGGGGAAGTGAAAATTTTCTTATGAGCATGATTAATATTTATATTATAATAATACAATAATTTTAAAAGAGCAATTTACTATAATATAGCACATTGAAGAAGAGTATATTCCACTTAATCATAACATAATCAATGAATCAAAATTCACACAAATACGTAATTATTGGATATGCTTGTACTATGAAAATAATTTATATAATAAATGGTTATTAATATAAAGAAAAATATATAAATAATAATTAATTTAGTCCACCAAAATGAAAAAATATATAATAAATGAATATTATAAGAAAAGTAAATTACAAATAATAAAACATTAAATGAATATCAAAATTTAAATATTATGTACAACAAAACAATTATTAAATAAAATTTTATAAACAAATAATATTATATAATTTATTAATTATATTAAATAAACCTTACCAATTTGTTATAATTAAATTTATTATTGATAATTTATTTATGTATTTTTTATAAATAAATAAAATTAGAGTAACAAAATCAATTATAACAATATATTCAAAATTTAGAGTTTTTTATGTAAATAATTTTTTTAAAAATTACATATATATTTTTCTTTTAATTTATTTATATGAGTCTCTATTTTAATGCAATAGAAGTTAATTTTAATTTATTTTTTATTTTTAAATGAATCTTATATAATTTTATTATTTTTAATTCATCTTTATAAAAAAGTTAATTTAAATTTATCATCTTTTGTATTTTCATTTATTTTTATACAAAAGTTGAAGTTTTACATATCTTTTTTATATAAAAGTTTACTTTAATTGACTTTCACATAACTTGTTAATATAAATATTGTGTATTTTAATATATATATATATATATATATATATATATATATATATATTCAAAATAAAAGTTGATTAAAGTACAAATTAATTTGTCATTCGTTATAAGATAATTTTTAATTTTGCACAATTATGTTAAAAAAAATTAAAATTAAGTATAAAAGTTCTAGTAAAATGATAAAAAATTACACTTATGTCTTTATATATTATAATAGTGAGATCTTAAATATAGAAGAGAAAGATATTATGTAGTGATAATCAAACTTAGTTATGTATACACCAATTACTTTACTATAATTAGAGAGTTAAATATTAGGAGAGTACGAGGAAAATAACATGCAAGTTTCAAAAATATTTTATAAGATGCTAGTTAATATTGGATCAAATAATATTCAAAATAAAAGATGATAATTTTGGAAAGATAAGCACATTGGTTACATATTTAGTTATTCTAACTCATTTGCTGAAACTCTTATAACAGAGTTATTTGTCGAGATTATTTTAGCTCTAGAGGTTCAGCTTAGGATCTATTAATCCTATTAGTTGATGTTTTGCCATGATGTGCACAATTCATATAATAAAGTAGGTTTTTCAAGTTTTGAATACTTCTTTAGATAGACCAAAAAGTCATTATCGCTAAATCCACTAGAAATGACACAAGGTAGCTTGGTTGGTGTAACACCCTAAAATTTTTAAATTCATACAATGTACATTTCTTTATTAATAATTTAAGATAAAATACAAATTTATTGTATAATAGACTTTATTATAACAAATTTTTGAAGTTCTCTTTTTAATAAATGTATTCACACAAAAATTTTGAACTTTGCAACCCTAATAAAACAATAATAATAAGTTAAGGAAAGAATAAATAAATATCACAACTAAAATTTTTGGTATTTTTATTGGGCAACCTGAAAATGCATTACATATATCTAATATATACAAATTTATAAACTTTTTGTCAAAATATATGAGGCTTAAAATAATATTTACATAAGCAAATAATTATATCATATATATATATATATATATACAAGTTCAAGTCTCAGAGCAGTTTCTCCCATAACCAAATACTAAAAACTAGTTCTAGTCATCAACCTCATGTCAGTTCTTTATCTCGGCCAAGTCTTCCGAATCCAGATCATCATCTGACCCTAGTTAACGATCGCCTGAAGCAGCTGTGACCTCTGTATTAGCGACATGCTCAAATGTCCATCGGGATGGTCTTTCGAGGTGGTCGTGATTGTAATAGGTGAATAAATAAGTAAGGGCTGCTGGAGTTCTAACAGTAACTTTATACATATATATATATATATATATATATATATATATATATATACATAAGGTCTGATGTATTCTAGTTCTAGGAAAATCAAAAGGAATACTACAAAAAAAAAATTATTTCTAACATAACAAAAGTCCTAGGTTCATTCTTCACAAAAACAACAAATTTAAAATAACACAATCTTTGATATTCATTAAATACATAATTGAGCCTATTATGTACTGACCGATCTATTAATCTAACTCTTTTCCAAGGCTCCGTCATCATATTTTCCTGAAAATATTAGTAAGGATGAGCGTTTATTCTATCGTTTTTCAAACATTGTATCACAAAATCATAGTTTATAAAAAAAATAATGCAATATATCCATTTTCACACTAAATTTACATGGAAAACATATTCAAATACACATCATTCATAATTTATTATCTATTATCCATCCTCTCATTCCAATACGCACTCTCAGTGCACTGTGATCACAGATATTAATGTCTCCAACATTTCTTGAGGTCTTACTTAACTAGGTAAATAGTTGCCAGTTAGTCCATTCACACAGATACAACATATATAATAATCAAACCCTTTAGCAAAGGCATAGTTAGAAGTCTAGTCAGGAAACGAGTGTGAGGCCATATGACGCATTTGCTCTCAAAAAGAGTGTGTACGCATACACGAATGTCGCTCACCACCCTATGTTTCTCCCAGAATTTATCGTCTCTGGACTCTATACTCCCAATGTATCTCCATAGCTATTCACACTAGATCCAATCTATATTCGACTTTTAAGTCATTCTCAGAGTTATTCTCTTTCTCATTCATAAGATCGTGCTTAGTAAAGTACTTCCAGACCAAAATTTGTTCCAATTCGCTCCACTCATATCTTTGTTAATATAGTTACAATTATTACATCATTCAGATCAATTTCATACTTTATCATATCATCTCATTCAGATATATTCCATAAAATCACATAATAATCACTCAGCAAGTTTAATCATATTTCATATTAAATACTCATTATATAACAGGAGTGTGCTAAAAATTCAGATCTAACGATCCAATCCATAACTTAAACAAAATAGATTTAAAAATTTGAATTTTTAAAAAAATTCAGGCATCTAATCCATTTTTATTTGGATGGGATAGGTTTTAGATCCATTTAATAAAATCAGATTTAATTTATTAAAAACCGATTTTTGAGATTGAAGTGTGGTTTTACGCATGTGTTTCTGTAGATTGCAAGTTGTGGAATGAAGAATACGCTAAAGCTAGGTGATGTTATTCAGTGCTGTGAGTGCAGTTATTGAATCTTTTATAAGAAGCACACTTGTTGCAGACTCGCAGTAAGCTTCACATTTTAATCTGTTGTTTTATAATTTTTTTGTTTCTTAGTGTTTGCTGAATTATTCTTATAAGAATAAAATTTTGCTTTGTATTGTTTAAATTAAAATGATTATGTATTATTCACATTACAAACGTAATTGATTAACTATTGAAAGTGTATTCGGTAACTGAAGCTTATAACATATTTATTTTGTCAACTATATTTAAATTAAATTTTTTATAAAATTATTTTTTTCTTAAAAATTTAATTTAAAACTAGTTTGACTTAACACAATATTTAAAACTAAATTAAGTAAAACATTAGTTTAAAACCGGTTTCAACTAAAATCAGAGTTTAAATAATTTTAAAACCAAATCTAAAATTTAAAACCAATTTTAAATTATTTTAAAAAAAATTAGTTTAAAATTTAATATATATAATTAATTTGTATGGTGGATAAATAGTGTAAAGTAAAAAAATATGAATTTAATTTTAATACAATATGAATGTAAAAGAATTATATTATTAATTTATTAAAATATATGCAGATATAATTTTATGTTAATTATTATAAAATTTATTTTTAATATAATAATTTAATAATAGTATAAAAAATTATTTATAGTATATTTTACTGGTTTAAAACTAGTTTGAAACCAAATCCAAATTTTAAAATCAATTTTAAATTGATTTTGAAAAAAATAAAATAGATTGGTTTAGAATCTAATCCATATTATTGGATTTAATTTAGTTTTATACAAATCTAATTTATGCCCACCCCTATTATATAATGCATATATCAATCATTTAGTCTAACAAACAATTAATCTAAACAATCAAACAAACATCTTTTCATTCATTATTCACACAATAGATATCTCAACCACATACTCTCGTAAAATATTCATGTAATAGTGCTTTATGAACACAAAATAAATACTGTAATATAACGATAAAATAAAGTTTTTCTTACCTCGAATATGAGCTCACAAAGAGATGTTAAAAAGGATCAAGGGTCAACTATGAAAGTTCTCCTAAATACTAACAAAACATGAAAAATGATCGAAGAAAATTAAGTTTAATATAAAGAAACTTACTTGGAGTCGTTTAGATTCAATGTCCAAGCTTGTATTCAAAGAGAGATTGAAGTTTCTGAGGCTTTTGTCTAGAGAATAGAAGAGAGAGTTCAGAGAAAACTAAGAGAGGGACGTGTGTTTAGAATGAAATGAAATTTTCATGCTAAAAATCTCTTAAATACCTCTCAATCCCGCGCGTTCTCGCTTGAGCAAGGAACATGTCGCTTAAGCGACGACATCTTGCTTGAGTGACGAATCTGTTGCCTGAGCGAGATATGCAGACAGTGGTCTCGCCCACTATTTTCTGATATGCTCACTTGAGCGAGCATCTCGCTTAAGCGAGATGATGTCCAAAGAGCATGATATTTCTCTTGTGAGTCCTCGCTTGAACGACCCATCTCACCTGGACGAGATTCCAGCTCGTCTGAGCGAGATCACTCTCCCCTGTATAAGGTGATAGTTGAGCTGAATTTATCCTATCTCGCTTGAGCGAGATAGCCCTGCAACATTGCATTTTTGC